TTTATAAGTAGAATTTTTAATGACAAATATGTATATTTGGTTTTTACCAGACAATGCAAGCCCAAATAAAAGTGAAGACATATACTGAATTGAGTGTGTATCACTCCATATCATTATCCAGTCATGAAGCCTGGAACTACTTCCATACATACCCTGAAACACCTACAAATAAAAAAGTACTAACATTTTGTTTTTCTTTTCAATTACAAATATTGTCAAAGGATGCCCAATGTTTTTATTCACTCCAGTATTTTTAATGTTAATACTTGCAATGTCAGGTACATAAATTTCAATATTTTCAATATTCATCAAATTTTCTTGAAACATTACAAAAGTGACATTATGTCGTTGTTCAAATCAATGATAACATTCCATATTATGTAAGATACATGTATCAACATGAGTCACATTTTCTCTCAGAAAAGACGGGATGGATACAAAATTTTCCATCATGAGGTTCTTTTCGTTTACACATTAGCGTTCTAATCTCCATGTTGATACAATTCAACGAAAAGGCAACAAATGTTTCATATTTTAAGTGAAGGAATGACTCATAAAATTTTCCACATGGACATTGTTTTTATTTAGATGTTGCCAAGTAAAGCCATTTAGCATAGCAACAAAAGTGCAGATCTATAGCATTACAATTAATCCCTTTTTCTTTGTATATGCAAGCAAGTGATACACAGCTATCGGATTAAACGCTGTGGATGTTACAAAAGTGCAAGTGCCACACAGGAATTATCGAGCCAGGAAATGAACGGAGATCAGACACGATCAAAATAAATCATTCCCAGACTTTTGATAGCGATATTAAGTTTGTCTTCCTAAAATGAGATAAAAATGGCTCTAGTAATAGCATCCATCCTCAGTCTACCAGCCCCCCCCCCCCCCACCAACCTGGCCTTCAGAGTGACAAACCAAAATAACCTGAGCCATGTAGCTTTAGAAATAAGTACTTGATACTAGAGAGATTCATATCTTGTCACATTGGTTTTTCATTAGTCCAAGTCACTTAAAAGTAAATATTTTCTTTATTTAACTACATTTATAAAGGCAAAAATCAATGTTTGTGGTATTAGATATTAAAAAGCACAACAAATGTTGTTAGGATTTAAAAAAAAAAAAATTGGAATTATAACAATAACAAGTTCTAAATGTTAGCATGTTAAATAGGGTAAGTTGAAAAGGCGATAACAATATTGCATGCTTAAGGAACACAACATTTATTAAGGATCATATGCATATTCTGCCCCCCCCCCCCCCCCCCCCCCCAACAAAAAAGTTCTGAATTTGGAAGGAGTTTATTAGGGCAAGCTGAGGATGTGTGAAGTTTGTGGGGGGTCTTCTTGGCTATCTTTTGCATAACTTTAATATGATAAGAGGTGTACAGTATAGAACCTAAAAAGAATGTTCACATCACAATGGTAACATAAAGGCAATATCTTATCTATTCATCTTACTTCTTAGGGAGGGATAAGACAAGGATCTTCTCCTCAAACACCACAGAGGGTGGAAGGGGTTATTTTGGGTGGTCATTTAATATACTAGTTATATGCCAGACTAAATTTACATGATGGCTATTAAAAACTGCAGTTATCTCAGGTTTGTGGTCTGTAAATCAATGATAGATCTACAAAAGTACAAGTTGGCATGGTTCTAAAGTCAGTTATCTATTATCAATGTGCCTGGTATATTTCATTATCTCACTCACTGTAGAGCAGGGTTTTATATCCTACATCTAATATTAGTTTAGCTTTGCAATTGAAGGATTAGCATTCTATTGATACCCTATACAAGGTACAGCCCCCAATATCTGTTAATTGGCTGGGAAGATAAGCTCAGCATTCTTGGTCTGTAAAATTAAACATTTGAGTTTTTAATTGGAGGTCCAAAGTACAAGCTGGATTCTTATGAAACAGAGCTCAGCTACCTCAGTAAAGGCACCATTCATAGCACTGTGAAGCATTTTAGTTATATATGCTGATAAACAAACACTTTTTTCACTAATGACCTGCATACAAATATTCAATCATTAACGCTCATTAATGTGTTGTTTTGCCATCAGCGGACAAAACAAGGCTCACAGTTATTGAGGTAGTTGAAATATTAAATTCAGAGAGAAAAATTGCACAACACATAGTAATCATACCTATCAAAATGATATATTAAAGATAATATATACATTTTGACAACATTTCAAAGCAAAAATAGTGTATTATCCTATATTTGGGTGAAATTAGAAAGCACGTTTTGTTGCTCAGGACACAAGTAATATCAAAGTTAAATCTGTTGATATATTTACTACAAATGCTGTTTCTAAATCATTTAATTGGCTTGTGTTTCTTATCTTTGTTACTGCACCCGCACATCATCTGCATGACTTTGTCTGATAAAGATGACTTTGTACTCAACAATAAATTCAAAGTTTTTGGAGTTAGTTTATTTTCTTTGTTCAGCAAACATACTAGCTCAACATTTCACTGTACCTTCAGTAGTACTGTTTGCTTTTTAAAACCTAGTGACCCCTAATTAGATTGTATGTAATGTTATGATATATGCACATCTCTATGCAAGATTTTTTTCTTTGCTCTTATATAAATGTGAAATGCTTTTTCAAACATTGTTTTTAAGTTTTTTAGTCAATGCGATAAAACATGTTTGTAATATGTTTCAATTAATTATTTTTTTTAAAACTATGAAACATGTATGCTTCATAGTAGAGACATTAAGCTAGGCCAAACAGGAGATTCTACAATGTTAACTATTCCCTTCTCACCCTTCTTTAACCCCTCTCAGATAAAAAAAAAAAAAAAAAAAAAAAAAAGAAAAAGAAGCTCAATGAATGGATGGAGATAAAAGAACAATGGCATGGAATGTGTGTTTACCATATACCTCCAACAATGCATGTGTTTAAGTATTGATCTATCACTTGGCCATCAAGGTGTTTAACCGCCAAAATGACTTCCAATCAATACACATTATACTGTTCAGCTCTGCCTAACCAGTAGTAGCATAAAGCCATACTCTGAGCTCATTCAAATAACTGTAGTAGTGGTTTGACTGTTTTGTTACCTTTCGTTTATGTGTGAACATTGATTTTAAAACTAACAAATTTAAAACTAACAAATTACAATAGCATTGTATCACTCCCATGAATTAAGCTCTTGTATGGTAAGGATTGAGAGAGAAAAGTTATATTCAAACTTTTGTGTGTCTTTTTAGATTACACCCTATTTCTTTTTAAGTCCTCATAATAAATTTATCAGGCTAAAAGAAAATAGCTGAATGCAAAACATTAATAAATCTAGGTAAAAGCCATATCTCCCTTCTTTAAATGAGAAATGAAAAGCATGTAAAGCAAAAACTAAGGTGACTGACCATGTGTTGAATAAGCTTTCAATTTCCTGTATTAGTATACTAAATATTGATGTAGTGGGCTTCAATAAAAATATATCTAGACCTGAAGGTGGCTATAGGCCCAACAGATACACAAGATCAAACCGCATTTCCTTATTATTGTAACACAAGCCATAAGTCTAAATGGAAATTGAGGGTGGGTGTATTTATGAAAATTATGGTAAGCAATTTGTAATGTAGTGGGCTTCAATGAAAACATATCTTAGACCTGAAGATGTCTTGGCCCAACATAAGAAAGATCAATCCACATTTCCTTATTATTGTAACACTAGTCAAATGGAAATTGATGGTGGGTGTCTTTAGGTTCTACTTATGAAAATTATGGTATGCAATTTCTATTAGTGGAAACTATTTACAACTGTATCAATACAATCTAAAGCTTGTGTTTGAAGTTGGTAACATACAAAAAAAAAAAAACGATAGTAGAAGTTCCTAGCATACCTAGAAATTAAACTGCATAAAATGCAAACATGACAATTCAGAATATACAGATTTTTTTTTGAAATAATAATTCTGTTCTATAGATTCATAAAGATTTAGTCACGGAAACAGGAAGTCATCACAATCTAACAAAGATGTTTGTTAAATTCCTTTATTCATATGACGGGGCTAATGTATCAAATATTTGCTTACAATTAATAAAAGCTATTGGTTCCCCGTCAATGAAATAGCACACTGCATGAAGCGGTCCGGATGCGTGGGCTTCTCCATCAATGCCTCCCTCTCCAAACGGTTCTGCGAATTTGCCTAACCTCAACCCACATTCAAACTGAGTCTGCAAAGTTTGAGGACAAACACTCTGCATTCCGACAGGCATTATACAAACTGCCAACAAAGGTTCTTCATTCACCGAAGCCTGACCCCAATAAAGAGGTAGAGTACGGGTATAGAGCGCTAGTTTGTGTAAGAGCGAGCGCCTATTCTTTAACCCTGCCTTTCCCGCCTTTTCAAACTAGACTATATTGACCCAGAGAGCTGTCGCTTGATTGTAATGAGGAAGGGGGGGGGGGGGGGAGGGGGTGAGGGCAATGGGTGGAGTGACTCAGGTAAATGCGTTCTGAAGCAGTATATATTACTATATGAAGCTGAAAAGGAATATACTTTCAGAAAACTGACATATGTAATTAAAGGAACATGTAATATGCCATGAGAGACAGGCAGTTCATTCATGCCATATCCTGAACAGACATGGGTAATAAACTCAGATAGGGTTAAAGAATGCAAACTAAATGACTACTTTTGGCTAGGAGGGTGTGGAAGAAGCAGGCCTACAAGGAGAAGAGATAAAGACAGAATAGTATGCAAAGTGACATTTTAAGCTAGCATGGGACAAAGACAGAGAGGGAGAGAGAATCACAAAGAAAGATTCCACTTTGAAGTCTTTGTTGGTATATCAAGGCAATGCACTCTTCCAAAGTTCCAGTCTCTATACACACACAAACCACAAGCATTCATGGTATGTCTTTGTCGCATGGGGACGGAGACCTACTTTTCTTTTTGCCATAATCTCTCTCCCTCTGTTCTCTTTCTCTGCCTCTGTCTGCCACTCTGAGGGGGTACTTTTGGTTCTCCGAGACTGACCTTTGCTTGAACGTTACCCTATCCCGTCCTCCTGGTATCTTGTGTGTGGACCACGTGGTCGAACGAGGCGGGGACTTTGAGTTCAGGCAAAGGGCACTCAAGCCTGCGATGATATAAGGGTTGTATATTCAGGTCCATTACAGGCTGTCTTACGGAATCACATGTTGTCTGGCGTGGTGTGGAACAGTGAGGACCACGAGGTAATGATAAAGAACCCTGGATCTACCGGCCACGTGGTGGAAGTAGAGCTCATAGCCAAGGACAGGACAGGAGGGTTACATCACTGCTATCGTCAGTTGAATAGCATCTTCTGGAGAATTGACAGAAATCTAATGTTGAAAAAAAAAAGGTTGTAATAGTGTTAAAAAGTATACATGATATGATGAATGAGTCTGAAACTCATAGGCATAAGAAATGACTTTTGTTTTCACAGCACGTGCATTGACAAACCATTGGCAGGAAGGGTTAATGCATATCATGGCACTATATATACTTGAACGTTCATCTCTGGTATGAATAGCTGCAAACTGGAGCCATAGTATGTGAAAAATAACCTTTCATTTAAAAATGATTATGAATTCTAGAAAGAAAAAAGTTTTTTTCTGTCATGATGTACCTAACAGAGGAGTTTGAAGATTTGATCACATGACAAGGGGTTACATATAAAGAGAGCACCGAAACACATGTGGCGAAACAATATACATGTATCTTCCAACATTTATTGTAAATCCATCAGAAAATATTTCCTCTCCTTGTGGCTGGGGCAGAGAGAATAATGGTTGGAAAGATAAAAAGAGGACACCAGAGACAAAGGATGAATTTCAGGAGCAACTGATGACATTCCCAAAGAAACAAGAGAGATGAAACTGTGCATGATAGCAACATGCCCATGTAAGGTCAGGAGAAGTTCAGGAGAAGTTCAGGAGAAGTTCAGAGGGTAAGGTGACAGAGTAGGGCTGAGAAAGAATCAAGATTGAGTTTCTTTCTACTCCCAATTCAGTATCAATTCATGTAACTTCAGGCGACATACGGTATTCTGAATGTAGACTGGGTCCTCTGGATGAATTAGGAGAGTCTGAGTAGGTCCATGGTCTGAGGAAGGATGATGGATAGGCCATGTACTTCCGACACACCCCAAAACTAATCTTGGTTCTCAAACTTCTGTCTCTATAGCTTCAGAGTTTTATTGGTCCTTTGCATGCACTGAAACTCACAGATTATGACTGAAGAATTACACAAAGCTCACAGACTTACAGAGTTGAAGTGCTAATCTTAAGAAGATTCCACCTCTTTTTCAAGTGAAAGGTATATCTCAAGAGTTCAGTAAGAGCTTTAGAAATATGTTGAGATGAAAGGCTATAGACAAGAGTAGAAATTTGAAAAATATTTTTACTTCACTCATGACTATTCAGTTCATGAAATGTGCCACAAGCTATCATTTCTCATTATAAATGATCATTAATTATGGATCCATTTCATTAAAGCCATATGTAGGGATATTTTGAAATACAGAGCATAAAAACACTTTTTAACACTATGCCTCAAAACAAGCTCACATTAAATTCAATGAATGTTTTTGTTGAAGGTTATCTTCATCTAAATTGATTAAAAATCAGTTATTACACAATTCTTATATTACATTAAATATGCTCTTGAACAGAACAAATATGATAATCAAATCAACTACCGGTAATGAAAATGTATAGGATACCTAGCATCATAGAGAAGATAATAAATTAATTTCAATGTACTAGTTGTTTGAACAACCAAATTAAACGCCTTCTTCTTTCAATGATATATTTAAATCTTACAGATGTTTTGAAAAGCACAGGGATACAGCATATAATTTGAAAATAAACAAAATATTCTTGCCTCCCGACTAGTATTTCTTTAAAAATTCTTTACTTGAAAGGGACAGGGTGTTATTATATTCATATTTTACTTCATGCATACACAGATTTAAAAAAAAAATTCAGTGTGAAAGCAGAAGTAACAGTTTCTCTTCACTGATAACTAGATCATTTGAGCACGTGCTTTGGATGCTGCTGATCAGGAGCACGTGGTCGCTCTACATCGCATTCAAGCATTGATTGGTGTGACACCACTGTTTCTTTTCAACAACAATGAATCCCAAACCAAGCATACCGTTCAATTACCCACCAATCTCGCCTATTCAGTGTTTCAGCTAACCTTCAATGTCTGGTCAGTGCTTTGTTGGAGGAATATGGCACGTTCTTGAACTGGCCAGGCCACCTTCGAGCACAAGGGTTGCTGCCCAGGTCTTGTTCCCCCCAGTCTAGACCTGGTGAAGTAGATCATTGCTCTAGTTTTCTTGGAACTGAGCCCCTTCCTCCAAGCGATGAATGTTCTTCCAGAGATCATACCATCTGGAATTATGGCTCCCTGTTCTCTGGACTCTAGATGAATATAACTCAAGATGGCCAACCATGATAGGCCTTTAAAATGAAAAATGTCTCACTTCAAGGCTTTGTGGCAGCTGTATCCATCTTTGAATTACATGCATAAATCCTTTTCAGTCATAGTAGGGTCTGAACTATCCATGCTTAAGACTATATATCCCCTCCCATAGGCTCATAATATTGTAGCTCTCCTATTTGAAGCTGGCTTGACTCAAGCCCAATGTATTGAGCCAAAAGGGTGTTTTTTAATTTTTTAAAATTTATTTCTTTCTTTAAAAAAAATAAATCTGTAGGCCTAAAAAACTTGTTCAGCTACCCTATTTTCAATTTTGCTAGAATTGTGTTTTGAACAATATAAAATACATAAGACGGCGGCTACCCACCTCACTACAGAAACCATGTGTTGATAAGTTGTAGCATGATTGCAGATTTGCAGTACTAAAAGCCTCACTTTAATAATTCTTAGGATCAAAAGAAGGAGCTTTCATCAAGGAAATACTTAACTTGAATTTCTTCCCAATCCAAACAAGCTTTTGGACTTGACACAACTTCCTGCTCCACTATCTTACCATGTTTCATTTTTTCTTCCACACAGCTATGTGCATATACCGTCCAGGTTCTTGGCCTTAATAACATTTTCAGCAAATTACTTGTCCCTTAAAATGGAAGTTAAAGTCTTGCCACAGTAAAGCACCCCTTCTTACTACTTATTTACAAAATAGGCAAGACATGATGAAGTATAATCATGACACATCGTCATATATATTAATCTATATCAGTTACAAACAAATTCCCATGAAAGATATAAACCAATAATACTATTGAACAGAAAATCTACCAATTCAAATCTCTATTGCGATGTCCCCTGTAAAACTGGGACAAAAATGGTTATATCACCCCAAAACTATTTTTTGAGGTCAGACAAACTCAACAGGCTTATAAGCTTCAAATGGAAAGTAGTTTTGTATGAAAGTGAAGTGAGAAAGAATGCTTGTGACCAACACTTCCAAGAACTCAACTTTCTCTTTAATTGATGAAACTCAATTCATAGTAGGAAGAAATGGCCTCAATGTCATATTGATGTGGCCAGCCCTAATCTTAGGTATTTTTCCCTAAAAAGTTAGAGGAAGTGGAAGCTAGCAAGAATATCCTGGTATCAGTGAGAATTTGAGCATTGCTTTTGATCGAATCAAAACAGAAACATAATCATTCATAGGGAGTGGTTGGGGACATTCAAGATCAATGGAAGTGGAATACTGAGAACACGTGGAGGAATTTCCTTGTCTTCCTTTCACTTATTTGATGTGTTTCTTTGTAGTTTGAGTAGATCGAGTTTTTAATCACAAAGAATCATTACCTGGAAATGAAAAAAAAAAAATTGAGTAGTTTTGAAATCATACTACTCATATTTCTTGAATTGATTTGAATTAGATACAGAGAATTGTTACCAGGTCTACTGTAAAATGTATAAGTACAATGTTTTATATTGTATTGTATTTTGAAACCGAAATTTAAGTGTATGCTTTGTAAGCCTAATGGCTTTTTTTTTTACCATGAGCATATCATAGAGCCTATTGTGGTAGGGTCCATGGGCACAAAAAGTATTGACTTCAAGTGTTTCCTTGAAGGTATAACATAACTTACCACACACAAAAACAGTATCTAAAACTTCCCTGTTGCCTCCGAACTTCCTGATATTAAAGAAAGAAGTTGGGTATAGAGCAACCATCCTAGATCCTGTTCATTTACATTATTAACATTCTTTCTCTATTAAGGAAATAAGTTGACAACATACCTCCCCCTCTTTCTATACCTTTTTTGGTCTCTCATTTCCTCAATAAACACATCCTGTTCAAGATTATAGTTAATAAGTTTCCTTTAAACATTCCCTGGACTGCAAACACTGCATTTGTTAAGATCTTTCCCTCTTAACTAATCTATGTAATTAGACAACAGAGTACCAGGACTAATCTGAGATACTAGATGCTACTAATGAACAAGAGACAGTATTTCCCTAACTTACAAATATCACAATCAAGTCTTCCTGCAAAATATATAAGGTAGCTATTACTTCATAGCTGTCACTATAAGAACCATTGAAATTCATTAAATATCTATTACCGTACCCTTTTTAGTTTTTAATATGGCTTGGAGCATTCTGACTTCTGTTTATTGAATTCAACATCTTTTATTAACTGGCTGATTTATCTTTCTTTTGGTTACTTTTTAATCAGAATATGGAGGTATAAAAAAAGAGGGGCAGCAACACTTCAAGGAAGTCCAAGATCTAAATCAGTCTTTCCTCATTCTTCGTCTTCTTCATTAAAATTCTTCCACCTCTGCGTTCCTGGTACCAAAAAGTTACTTATTCTTTATCCTTCTCTTCGTCTGAATAATGTAAGTTATTTTGTCTGAGTTGAACCGCTCGCAAACTCCTCCATAAGGTCACAGGAGTGTTTTATAACCTGGGAGTATGTATGTAGACACGCTCAAATGAGCTTAGTCATTGTGAGTTGGCATTCTCGAGCTATGTGGTGGCACCACACACAGATTGTATGACCTTTATGCACACTCTTTAGTGTTATCTAAAGTATGGTGGACTGATAATCTGCCTAACTCTATGACTTTCAATCCAGCAGGGCATATAAAATGGGTTGGTCTTTTGTGCATTGTGAACAAAGATACTAGTGTTTGACTTTGGGAACAATTTAAGAGAAATGGGAACTTGATACAATTTTTCTTTGCCTTCAAAAGTACAATAAAATTTCCTTGATTCTTCTGACAATGAATTCCGAGCATATCTTCCTTTTGACTCATTTTCCTTGAAAAGTTTTCATACTTTTGAAAAGCGAAAATATTAAATAATGACTAATCCTCTCTTTGCTTGTTTGCATGTATAGAAGGAATATAGTGCCAAGAATTTAAAATGTTTAGTCAGAATAATCTTTTCCATGTTTTCTTAAAAAGTTCTGATATTGTTATTACTATGACTCCATTAGTACATCCTTAACATTTTCAGCAATCACAGCTACAAGTATTTCATAACTTAGGACCTGACCACCCAGCCTACACACAGAGTATGCTCACTACTCTATAGAATCCAGGGGCATAATAAATGTCTTATAAGTGTCTCTATTCTCTAATGCCTCTAAAAAAGAAAAAGATCACACTGCTATCACAAACAGAAGCCTCCTTTTCTCAGAAAAACCTCTTTTATCACGGATTCACATATTTTCGATTTCAATATCTGAGACATCAACCAAAACAAACACATCTCCCTTTTAGGAATAAGACACTTAAGCTGTAAAATCAGTCAGTCATGAAGGTTTCACTTTTGATACTACTCTATCATTGTCTGAATAGTAAAGTATCTCTAAACTCCAAGCTTCTTGGTATATACGCCCACTCGCTGCCAGCCACCCAGCACTTTCACTATAAATCCGGTCTTGGGATATTTAATCTTCATTACATTTGTTTAATATCATCTTATCTCACGTAAACCATGCTAACTTTTCCAGGAAAGATGCCTTGTACAGATATGATTGATTTGGAAAAGACACCTTTTATCTTTCTGTTGGAATGAAGTACAAAAATCAATAACAATTAATGTCTTTGATTCTAGGTAATTTGCCTAGACCCTAGTTCGGTAGACGTGCAAAAAGTCAATTGAAACTTAATTCATTCTAAAAGGTAAAGAAAAATTAATCAATTAATAACATTGCTGATGGTTCGCTATCGTGATGTGTGATTTGATTGCCATTTGTATTGGGAGTAACTATGAAACGATCCACAACTCCTCCTCCAATTGATATCTCTGTTAAAAGGAGATGGTCGTCAGTTTTCATCCCTTTGCAGCTTTGTATCCATTTTGGTCCCTCCCAACTACATAACTGTGCCTTTCCTCCTAATCCTCTTCAATCTATCTTCCATCTCAACCATATCCAAACCACTAATTAACCCTCTCTCTATCATAACATTAACATACATTGTCATTTATGTTCAAGACATCACATGA